TTGCTATAAACCCCAGGCATTACTAGGAAATATCTGTTTATAAAGAAACGGTAGTTTGCTTAAAGTCAACATGAAATCAAAATGGACCCATTTAGTTCCCCTTCAGGAACTCGAGCTGCGTCGAGATCGCTTTGGGAACGCCCTTGCGTGCCCGTGTTCTGAAGCATGTGTCAAATCCGTCCAATGGAGCAGCGAGACGTCACAAGCAGGGTGACGTAAGCACCAGAAAGCATAAAAGCGCATCCGGCCAGGCGCAAACCAGCTTCTGCTCTTCAGTAGCGTTGTGTATGTGTCTGTCTATTTACTGTTGTCTGTCCGCACAAGCACTCTTATATATAAAACAATGAGAAAGTCTATGGCGAGCGAACGGCATTACAAACGCTGTGTTTCTTCCTGCCCACGATATCTGGCGGCGGGGGATACACACGATTTGTGTGTCGTTTGTTTAGGAGCGGAGAATGCCCGGTCAGCTTTCAAGCAGCTGATTGTCATCACTGCGAGCTCTCGCTGCACACGCTTGTCTCTTTGCCATACTCCCTGCATCCCTGCAGGCGCTACTTCATCGAAGCTGGTTTGCGCCCGGCCGGATGTGCTTTTATGCTTTCTGGTGCTTACGTCACCCTGCTAGTGACGTCTCGCTGCTCCATTGGACGGATTTGACACGTGCTTCAGAACGCGGTCACGCAAGGGCGTTCCCAAAGCGATCTCGACGCAGCGTCTCGTTCCCTCGGGGAACCATGGTTACATACGTAACCTAGAGACATTTCTAATGCACGTTCTTAGTCTTAATGTGAATGATTCATTGTTGCATGTTATTCTGAAATTTTTTTTAATTGTATAATAATATATTTATTCAGATGAATAATATTTAATTAAAAAGTAATAACTTGCTCTTCCTCTGAGGCTGAGTGTGCTGCTGAATAATGCTAACTTCAGAAAGAAATGCGAGTCCAGTTGTGACAAAATATGAGTAATGATGACATGGGAATAATTATGAGGAAACAAACATCCAAAATTATTATTATTTTATAATATTGGCGTGTAGTGTCATACAACTGAGTAGACACTGCCAACATGAGCAAACCAAGAGGCTTGCTATTTGTCGTCACTGCAAATTTGTGTCAAAGTTCATCAAACTTGATCCCGATGTTGAAATTTGTTTTGGGAAGATTTAGCGGGCAAAATTCTTTAATGTGTCGATTTTCATAGAAATAACAGGACTTCGGTAGCAACCAACCATAAACGTGACCATACCTCAACTCTCACTTTATGCCAACCAGTCATAAAAAATTTATAAAATCAAGTCCCTTCCTACATTTTCTATTTTCACTTGGAAATAAATCACAGTTGAGAAGTAAAATGGGTTGAGACTGAGAATAAAGATTTACATTGACACAAATCCCTTCCTTCACCCTTGGTTTCACTTGGAAATACATCACAGTTCAAAAGGGAAATGTGTTGCGCATGAAGATTTATTTTGACTTTAAAGACTAGTTATTAGGAATTGGCTATTCTGGGTTGGGTATATATTTGTTTACACACCATGTTTGAATTTTCACCCCATAAGGTCTTCCATAATGTCTTCTTCATTACTCCATTTCCTCTTGTCTGTCAACCCTCAGGACTCTGATGGTATCTAGAATGACACCGAGCTGAGGGTGCCAGCATACCGGAGCTGATTATTTCACATCGTCTTGCACTTTTGCCAATAAGATCACATTACCGTCTCAACCGGCCGCCACTCCACCCTGTCTTTGTAATCTCAGTCAGCAGATTAGATTTCATATTTTCTTTGCACTCTCAGAAGGAGTTACAGTGTGGACATTTATACTGCACATGTGGTTGCATCAGGCTGGCATAATGAGTTGTGCAGCTAACATGGGGCTCATGATCTTTGTGCAGGAAGGGGGCAGGGAATTCACACGTGTATCATCATTACCTTGAGGTCCTGAAGGGAGATGTTATAATTTCCCAAACCTGTGAGAGTCTAGACCTGATCTGAATCATGCATTATAGTGTCTGCTCATTTTTGATAAATTAAATATGTCTTTGCTGAATAAAAAAAAAACTTCCTGAGCCCAAACATTTGCATGGTAGTGTATATGTAGAAATTATATTAACCATGATTAATAAATGCGTCATTAATATTATGAACGTAATGATTCTTGTTCATTGTGTCTATGCTCAAGGTATCATAGCTCATTGGAAATAGGCATTGTATGTCTGCCTATAAACCCAGTATTGTATTGGGGACTGCTTGAAAAAGAGGCACATGACACATGTACGGCTAAGGAAATATTTACAGTAAGAATACATAGACATTACGCTCGATGAACCTTAGTGAACTCTCCCAGACTACAGTGAGTGCCCTTAAGAGGTGGTGGGTGTGATATATTACTTTAAACAAGCAGGGCCAGCTGAGGCTAGGTAGGTCTTAAAAATGGCACTTGTGTAAACATTTAGAAGTAGAAACAGTGTCTGAGGGGAGTTAACATCTCTTGGGTCTTTACTAACGCCATGCAGTGACGACGAGGGAGTGAAACAGAGTGCTTCTTTCTGATGACGAGGTGTTTATCTGTATATTACATAATTTACTAAAAAATATAAACATTACAAAGCTTAATAAAGATAGGGATTCGGGTGGGCTGGAGGGCTTCAGAAACATTCACTAAAAATAAATTAAATTAGCTAAGCTTCTTTGAAAAGAAACCGAAAGCAAAATGATGAAATCCTTTTTTTGATGAAATCCACAGCGTTTCCATGTGCATTTTGCCAAAATGTTGTCCATACTAACATAACAAAAACAGATTAGGGAGACATCCTCAGACATACACACACTTAACAAGCTCATAATTGGGCACTGCATGATGACTTCCTGTCAGAGCCCCATGAGGGATTCTTGTTCTTGACTCCGCTGATGACCCCAAACCAGAAACCTCAGCTTTCATTCTTCTGCCCTTGAAATATGCCCTGTGGCTTTGAAAAACTCTCCAGTGCATCATCAACTGGCCAATTTTTATGTTGCAGGCATCTGCCTTCATCCGGTGTCCCTTGTAGCACATTCTTAGCTGAAACGCCTGTTTTATTTACAGTATCTTGTATACCGTGAGATAAATACAATCTTATGCTCATAGACAAGAAAAAAAAAAAAAAACTCAACTGCTTTAAAGGGGTCCAGTTATGCTCTTTTACAAAGTCTTGATTTTGTTTTGGGGGTGTACTAGAACAGGCTCTCATACTAGGTTGTTCGAAAAACACATTATTTTTCACATATTTTACATTATTACAACACCTCTCTCCCCAGTCTGGCACGAACGGCTCGAATAGTTTGTATATCAAATGAAGGCCCGCCTTCTGAAATACGAAATGTGCTGTGATTGGTTAGCTGGACCAGTGTGTGCTGTAATTGGTTAGCTGGGCCAGTGTGTGCTGTGATTGGTTAGCTGGGACAGTGTGTGTTGTGATTGGCAGCACTCGGCGCCTGGTCGGGAAATGATATGCCCCTTACCATAGCCGTCTGCGAGCTTCAGAGTAAATATTGTGTCAAAATCAAATCAATTTGAGCGCGATTTAAACCCGGATGATTGTAAACACTCTAAGTTCGTCTGCCTTGAGAAAGCTAGCCTGTCTCCGACATAGTGATAGCACTCATTGCCTTCTCTAGTGCAGCACAACAAAATCTCGTCCCATTCGTCGATATTTGTGATATCACAAATCCCGGAAAATATGCGTTGTAGTCCAAACGAGTCGCTTGTTGTAGTTTTTGAAAAGTGATTTCTGTTAAATAAAATATCTCCTTTTGAAGTGGACTTTGAACTTTGTAACTTTACAGATATTTTTTTTTTACTCAAACAGCAACATTACAGACTAACTAAAGTTGAAAAAGTGAAAAAGCATAATAGGACCCCTTTAATACTCGAAAGTAGAAAAGATGTCAAGTTACCTCAGTCAAAGCCTTCCACTATGCTTTTGTCACAGTTATGCTGTAATAAACACACAAAGAAAATGAAGACGTTTCATGAAGTCTTTAATCCAATTTACGGGCAATCCAACACAGGGTAGCGTAAACGCAGACGAGACTGGACACACAACTAACCGAACACACAGGAACTTAAATACACAGACCAAACAACAGAATGACACAATTCACTCAATGAAGGGGAACGGTGCAAGAGGAAAACAAAGTCCAAACTGAATGATATGTGACATGCTTTCCTTCCTTTGTTCCTTTAACAACACACAAAGATTCTGAGGGTCAAAGACAGATTTTACTGTCTAATGATTTTTACAACAAAATCGTTGCAACAGGGAACTGCCTAAGAGGTTGACAATTTTTTAACCATGTGTGGATGAGGCCAATGTGGAGAAGTGGGATAAACCAGAAGGTAAAAGCCTTCATGGAATGTGTTAATAACAAACAGATCAAAATCGTGTTTATCACTGGCAGCCGGTAAGGGAGGCGATACCTCATTTGCTCAGCACTGAATCTACCGTCTGCACAAATCAAGAGCCGTCAGCCAGCATGAACAACCTTAGGGAGACGTTCACTCCTTCATGGGTTAGATAAAGTCGCTTAGTGAAGGCAAAAAAGAAACCAAAAACCGAGTATCTGCCAATATAATCTTTCTTGGAATTCCTATGTTTCAAAACAACAAATATTCGTTAGATGAAATAAATATCTTTCTCTCTTTATCTAACTTTTTTCCCCTCAAAAGACCCAAAGACAAAGTTTCATTGCCTGAACTGAACTTGTAATTAGTTCCACCAATTGTTTCCCAAGTGAGTTCTCACAGATAAGAGGCAAGCCAGTGTAATCCAGGATGGCTCAGACCAAAGATGCCTAATTCCTCTGAGCCCCTGTTTCCCACTGACGACAGAGATGAGACAGTGTCATTATTGTTCTCTCTCTCCCTCTCTCTTCTTTTCTCCCTCTCTCAGTTTCTCCAACTACATTTTTTTCCCGGTTGGAGGGTGAACAATAGGTCATTCATGCTCCCCTGTCATCCCTCAATGACGTGAAACTGCAGAGATGCCCCTGGGATCTTGATTGCAAAGTCTAAAATACAGAGGTACTACAACAGAATGCTCAACATATTAACGTGTTTCTTTTAACGACCTTTTTTAAAACTACGACAATGTAATCAAAGAGTTAAGTAAACATACTTTTTAAAAAATATTTATTGTGACAGTTATTTCAATCAGTTACAGCATTTGCAACACACCAAACTATTTCCCGCCAATAAAGTTTCTAATGTTAGTGTAATTGTTTACTAAGGAGGCAATAGTGTTAGTGAAGAGCTTAAGAATATGAGGCATGTGATGTATGATGTAACAAATCAAGGCAAATATCATTTATAAACATATTATTATTATTATTATAATTGTATGTAATTTCCAATCAAGTTGTAATTTTGTCAAATCATATAAAAGGTTTGAAAATATTACATAATTGTGTGAATAAATGTTTATTTACAACACCACCATTTCCATCTGAGAACAGAATGCTATTAAACACAGTATATAATTTGAGATGTGGTGGAAATGCTCATTGACAGAAAAAGGCCATGAATGGCTAGAGATGAAGAAATGCCCATTGACTTTTATTGGGTTGAAAAAAAAAAACAGGCATGTGATGTATGATGTAACAAATCAAGGCAAATATCATTTATGAACATATTATTATTATTATTATAATTGTATGTAATTTCCAATCAAGTTGTAATTTTGTCAAATCATATAAAAGGTTTGAAAATATTACATAATTGTGTGAATAAATGTTTATTTACAACACCACCATTTCCATCTGAGAACAGAATGCTATTAAACACAGTATATAATTTGAGATGTGGTGGAAATGCTCATTGACAGAAAAAGGCCATGAATGGCTAGAGATGAAGAAATGCCCATTGACTTTTATTGGGTTGAAAAAAAAAACAGCTTGGACATTCTGCTTAATATCTTCTTTTGTTTTTCATGCAAAAAAAAAATAAAAATATATATATATATCATAGAGTTTGAACAGACATGAAGGTCAATAAATAATGACAGAATTTTTGGGTGAACAATCCTTTTAAATCTAGAAATCTGCATCAAACTCAGCAGTTTCCCTTTCTATACTGTTTGATCACCGGCATCACCATAAAAAGCCAAGCCAAGCCAATCATTAACCTTCAAATGAGAAAATTAGGTGACCTTCCATCACCGGAGCACCAACAAAACCTCTTTGGTTTCTTATTTTAGCATCAAAGGTCGCTGTGTTCAAAGAAAATCACAAAGATAATGGCTGAATGGATCAGATCAACAAGAAGGTATTTACGAAAAGACAAACAGGCTACTGTACAACAAGGCATTCCACATAAATGATAAGATTTAAAGTAGGCAACAACCTTTACTGACTTAAATTTTAAATAATAATTTGCAGATTCCTGTCGCATCAGTAATATAAAGCATGATCAGTCTGGAGGGTATTTACAATGCCCTGAAACCACCCTGTGCTGCAGAACTGAGCGTTATCTCTGCATTTGGATAAGGAAATGTGATTTATACATTACTTAGTGAAATAGTTTGCCTTGTTCATCCTCCTTTGTCTAGTGTGACTACTGTGGAACAGATAGTGGTTTTCATAATGGTCTCAGAGTTCATTTAGCCTGTTTTACTTACTTTTATTCTAACATTTACAGCTTATTCTCTCTCTCCTCACCTCTTTGTGTTCCTGACACGGCCTGTGTTGTGTTGTCTTATCCCATAAATGGTTAATGACCCCCGTGCACGTAGCAGAAAGCTCAGAGGCTGGATTGTTTTGGAGAGAGGAATAGTTAAATTTACTGCTTCAGCCAAGCAAATTTGGACCACCCGGCTTGGAATAGCACATAATACAATCCAGAGCTCGCTCTCTCTCTCTCTCTCTCTCTCTCTCTCATCATCTTACCCTTTTTCTTAATCTCCCATGTGCTCTCCACTAGTGTCCCCCCTCCTTCGATCTACCTATATTTGGGATCCCTTGACTTGCAGGAATGTTCTGGCCCATGATGTTACAACAAACATCATCTCCTGCAGATCGCCCTGAGCTGTAATTTATGACACAGCAGACTGAATCCCAAATGTTCCTGCTTCTATCATATCTTTTAGTTTCAACTGAGAAATATTAAACTTCACTTTCAGCAATTTGCAATCCTCCAGATGTGTTCATGTGCACATGATGTTCTAATTATGATGGCACTAAATATTACCATGATGTCAAAGCATTTGGGTGGATCCTTCACGTAGTCCATGAAATGTGTCACTTCTTAAAGGGGTAGTTCACCCCTTTTTCTGTAGAAGACAACAGGAGAAAGTTTGAAGGCTGTATTGCTTGGTCTTTTGCATACAAATACAATGAATGGGGGGCTTGATTTGTTGAAATGTAATTGCAATTTTTTTTTCTTGATAAAAATTGTGATTTATAATGCAATATGTAAAAAATCTCCATGCTTGCTGTGCTTTTTTCACCCCAAAATAAATATGATTTTAAATTAATATAACTACATAATAAAAATAATTTGTAATTGTCATGTGTTGTCTATTTTTCTTTAGTTGTCCTTGTCATTTGACCTAGTTTTCCCTCTAGTTTTTTCCCTTCTTTGTTCAGTCGGGGCCAGTTTTTGTTTGTGTCTACATTTTGTGCTAGGGCAGTTCTAGTGACCGCCTGTGTTCCTTGTGGATTTATTATTAAAGGACTGCTGTGCATTATTTTTGTTGTCGTGTGATTATTGTAGAGCAACTAGCATGACAGTGATATATATTGTATGCAAAATATTGTAATATTTAATTGAAAAAAATGGAGTGTTAAAAAATATGTAATATGTAAAAGTGTAAAATTATATATTTTTGTCTTGTCTTGTCTTGCAATTTTTTTTTCTTGATAAAAATTGTGATTTATAATGCAATATGTAAAAAATCTCCATGCTTGCTGTGCTTTTTTCACCCCAAAATAAATATGATTTTAAATTAATATAACTACATAATAAAAATAATTTGTAATTGTCATGTGTTGTCTATTTTTCTTTAGTTGTCCTTGTCATTTGACCTAGTTTTCCCTCTAGTTTTTTCCCTTCTTTGTTCAGTCGGGGCCAGTTTTTGTTTGTGTCTACATTTTGTGCTAGGGCAGTTCTAGTGACCGCCTGTGTTCCTTGTGGATTTATTATTAAAGGACTGCTGTGCATTATTTTTGTTGTCGTGTGATTATTGTAGAGCAACTAGCATGACAGTGTATTGTATGCAAAATATTGTAATATTTAATTGAAAAAAATGGAGTGTTAAAAAATATGTAATATGTAAAAGTGTAAAATTATATATTTTTGTCTTGTCTTGTCTTGTGTGTGTGTGTGTGTTTTTTAACCATTAAACTTTTGTTTTGGCAGAAGATTGTAGACTGTAAAGCTTCTCTTTTGTTGGCAAAAGCCAGTTTACTCTATGAGCGCTTTCTGTTAGAAATTTAGAAGATTTTTCCAAATGCACAAGTGACCCAAACACTGAAAACACTGGATCATGTGTGAAAGAACACAGTGCCATGCTTCACTCTGAAACATGCAACACCTGTATTTATGTAATTAAATCACAGCCGTTGCGATTAATATTCACAGTAAGCCATAATGTGATTTTAGTTTTATTTTGATTAATCGTGCAGCCCTGCGTATCAACTTCAAAAAGGGCACAAAAGCACCAAAAAAATTGTCCACATGACTTATGAGCTATATACCAAGCCTTATGAAGCAATATGATTACTTAGTCTGAAATTTAAGGCATTATTCTTGCTCTTACTAGAATTCCCCCCCAACTAATTGTCTTGTTGTGGGTTCCCAATCATAAACTGAGCCTCATGACTAACTGACACCCAAACCCAGCACACATGACCTACTGAAACTGGGCTGCATTCACGAAAATGTTCTTTCTTCCGTCTGCTCCTTTGTGGCGTGCTCCAGAACCAGCTACATGGATCATAAGTTTGGCCAAAGTCCCGGGGGCTTCCAGAAAAACTGAAGACCTCATTGAAGAACTCACTGAGAGACGTAGAAGGCCTGCTGGCGCCACAGCCTCCAGAAACCTCCTGGCATGATGGATGGAGGTCACTGCCAAAGTACTGCTGTCAAGAAAATGTCTGATCCATGAGTTTCAACAATGGAGGAACTAGACTGACTACCACAAAATACATAATAACTACGATTATTTATGATTATGATGGTTGGAGGAACCATTAAATATCCTTAAAGAAAAGCCCCTATACCCAGGAGTTTAACTGTGATTCATCCTTTGTATACATGAGCAATTACAAAATATACAGTAAATGCAATACTGCATTTATTGTTCTGTCCCAGCAATCCATTGGAATCCCTTAAGTCAGATGAACAAAGAACTTGTTTGTCGAAATGTGAAACTTCATTTTGAAACATGCAAGCTGAAGAGGAATTTCAAGCCGCATGCTCATTTGGATGAGCCTGAATTTATAAATCTGACCACAAGCTTGGACACTGAGACTATAAAGTTGGAATTATAAACAGTTTATTTGATGTGGCACCATCTTGACAGGGCGACTACAACAGTGATTCACTTACAATAACAGTGGCATTTATGCCAACTCTGACCAGCATAAACAAACAGGGGATTGTGTTCTGACCATTTCAAACTCAAGGGATGTTACATGTCACCCACAATTAGTCAAGTAAACTTAGCTGACAAATTAAATCGGATGATTTCCAAAAAAAAAAAATCTCTAATATACATATCTTCTAGGCTGTCTAAAGGTGTACTGACAAACAGCATGAAGGTTTGAAAGCTGATGAATCAAAGATTTATGTGACCCTACACCAAGAATGATAAGATTGGATAAAATATATATACACACTACCGGTCAAAAGTTTGGGATCAGTAAGACTTGCAATATTTTTTAAAGAAGTCTCTTATGCTTATCAAGGCTGCATCTATTTGATAAAAAAACAACAAAAAAACACAAAAAAAACAACAACCCGGTAATCTTGCAAAATGTTATTGCAATATAAAATAATGGTTTCTTTTTTAATATCCTTTAAAATACAATTTATTTCCATGATGCAAAGCTGAGTTTCCATCACACATTACTCCAGACACATAAAGTGTCACATGATCCTTAAGAAATCATTCTAATATGCTGATTTATTATTAGAATTATCAATGTTGGCAACGGTTGTGCTACCAAATATTTTTTTTGGAAACTGTGATACTTTTTCCAGGATTCTTTGATGAATAAAAAGTTAAAAAGAACAGCATTTATTCAAAATATAAATCTTTTCTAACAATATAAATCTTTGCTATCACTTCTTAACAATTGATCACATCCTTGCTAAATAAGTTTTAATTTCTTTCAAAAAAAGAAAGAATAAAAATTTACTGACCCCAAACTTTTGAATTGTAGTGTATATTGTTAAAAAGATTTATATTTTTAAATAAATGCTCTTCTTTTTAACTTTTTATTCATCAAAGAATCCTGAAAAAATGTATCACAGGTTCCAAAAAAATATTAAGTAGCACAGTTTCTAGCACTGATAATAAATCAGCATATTAGAATGATTTCTGAAGCATCATCTGACACTGAAGACTGGAGTAACGATGCTGAAAATTCAGCTTTGGCATCACAGGAATAAATTCCATTTTAATGTACATTAAAATAGAAAAATGTTAATTTACATCATAATAATATTTCACAATATTACTTTTTTCCCCTGTATTTTTGATCAAATAAATGCAGCCTTGATGAGCAGAAGACACTTCTTTAAAAACATTACAAGCCTTACTGATCCCATACTTTTGACCGGTAGTGTATTTATATATTGCAAAAATTTTTTTTTTGCAATATTGTATGCGAGTGTGTTTGTTTACCTGAGACAGAAGCTGTTCTGTTTTGTCCTTCCACGCGTGTCCCTCCTCCTGTATCTGTACAGCGTACTGATCTCTCTCCACCTGCAGCTGAGCCACCGACTCCATCAGCTGCACACACATACTCAGACACTCAGGATGACATTCAGGACTAACACAGACACAAACATGCCCCAAATTACAGCAGCACACACCTGAGCCGTGTGAGCTTCTATCTGGTGCTTTTCTTCCAGCAGGAGCTGGACCTGCTGGTGCTCAGACGGAGAACCCGTCTGACTGGAGAACTGCAGGAGCGATGTGAAGAGGGATTTCACATCACAGGAATACTATCATGAGCACAGTAAATGTTTAAAGCGTCTCCTCACCTGCTGCAGCATGCTGTCGGCCATCTCCAGCCGCTTACGGAGCTCATCAACCTCCTGCTTCAAGCCGTTGTTCTCATTTACTCTCAGCTTGAGATGCTCGGACAGCTCTGAGCTCTGCTGTCTGGACTCCTCGCTCACATTACTGACAGACACAGAGACCATATTCATGCAGCACACACTCACATCGCATCTGCTGCTAAAGGAGGAGTAAAACACAACTCAACTGTCTTACCTAAACCGGAAGACTTCCAATCGTAGACTGTCCCGCTCCTTCTCAAGCTCTTTATTATGCTGCAGAAAAAAAGCAAACGAGGATTTCTGAGATGAACGGAGTCGTTCTGTCAAACGCAGCTGATGATGAAGACAAACCGAGGATCTGGTACCTTCTCAAACTGCTTCTGTTGTGTAGAGACTGTAGATAGCGTCCTCTCGAGCTCAGACACTCGCTGTTTACTGGCCTGCAGCCGCGAGCTCAGGTCTTCTGCCTCTCCTGCTCAAACACACAGCAAATAAAGATATATACGGTTTATACTTTACCACATGCAGAAAAGAAATGATATTTTGCATGAAGAAAAATAAGTCTTTTTTTTTTTT